CACCTTGGCCTCCTAAAGTGCTGGGATTACAGGCAAGAGCTATTGCACCCGGCCAACTCCACAGTTTTTAGCTTGGACTCTTGGTGACCTTCCAAGATGGTGTCCTCGCAAAGCAGTTGATATGCCCAAGGCCCCCCCAGGAGTACGCCCAACCGCTTCTAATTTCCCAACTGTGTGCCTTGCTTCAGGCATTGCCTCTGCTTGGAAATCATTCCCTCCTTCAATATTTTTTACAGGTGAGAGCTTCTCATGCATCTTTGGAGGTGCCTCTCCAATGCCCACTTTTTCAAGGAGCCTCTGTCAGTCCTTGCTGTGGGGAGCCTGGGGCCTGTGCACTCAGTGTCCCTTGCTTCTGTGTGCTTGGCTGAGTTTGTTCTGATCATCTTTCCCCAGCAGCTCCCTGAGGGCGAGGGGCATAGTGCAGGGAGTCAGTAGCCCGCAGAGGCTGTTGAAAGAGGCTCCCCCTCTCTGAGCCTGTTTACTCTTCTATAAAATGGAATCCTGCCTATTATTATTAATAGAGTCAATGAACTTACTGTGTCCTTCCTATGATCTGGACAGTGCGCTCAGAGATATACGTACGCTGTCTTATTTAATTTTCACAACCCTGTGAGATAGAAACATTTGTCATTCCCATTTTATGGATGAGGAAATGAAGGCACAGACAGGTGGAGTGGCTTATCTGTTAATACATCCAGTAGCAGCTGGCTGGGATTGGAACCCAGGCCTGCCTGCCCCCACAGATCTAAGCCCTGCGTAGAGGACGCAGCCACGTAACTAGAATTTCCCACTCGCCTCACTGTAACCGTAAAGTGGGGAAATCTCCTTTAGGAACCCCGAGGTCTGGTGGGGAATGGAGAAACGTGCTAGAGCGCTCATTTACCGCTTCTGGGTTCTGAAATTCGGGTTGGGCAACTTGACACTTCTCCCTCCCATTCTCAGCTCAGGCTCGCTTCCGCCAGCAAGAGGTACAGGAGGAAGCGTTAGCGGAGACAGCAGGGCCTGGAATCAGGAGACCTGGATTCTAGCATTTACTAATACCACGGTCACAATGCTGTTCCCTGGGCCTCCGTTACCAAACGTGTGTCACAGGAGGGTTGGCTGGGGTCAGCTCTAAGACCATTTCCAGCTCAGTCAATCCATGATGTGCTGCCTGTATCTTCAGACATTTGTGTCACCACTTGGAGCCTCAGTTTCCTCATCATTAAATGAGGGTGAGCACCCCAGTATTGCTGCAAAGGAAGTAATGGCTATGGACGCGAAGTTTCTCAAGTGGGATTACTCTGGCGGCGCCTCCTTGCTCTCAGCTGCGCTGGGGCACAGCCTATACCAGGGGCTTTCGAATAGCCAACAGCGCCCATGGGGCTCTCCATTGGCAGGACGTGTGAGAGCAGCAGTTCCCAGTAGCTGCTCTCTGCTCGGGTTAAAATGGCAACCCCCTCCCAACCAAAGACCAAGGTCAGCTCATCCCAGTGCAGAGCTTCTGGAAGGGGTCTGCCCTGAAGGGGAAATGCATGGCTCCAGGCAGGAGGGGGAGCAGCGAGGAGGTAGGGGGCTCAGTGGGTGACAACAAGGCAGGAGAAAACACAGGTGCTTATAAAAGCACCGCAGCTGGGCCAGCGCTGCAGTTCCAGTTCTGTCTGCCGCTAACTCGCTGTGTGGCCCTGGGCCAGTGCTTCTTCTCTGTGGAAGTGACAGTTGTGTCATCTGCAACTGAGAGAGGGAGGTGGGAATTTCTGAGGGCCCCTTCCACACTTAGAGCATCACAACCATCCTCCCTTTCTCCCACGTTGAGACAGCTGTGGTTTGGGCTTCTGCTTTCTCTTTCCTTTTAGTTTTTATTTAGCCCCCACCGCTTCTCCTCGTTGAACTTTGCTCATCTCCAGCGTCATTTCAGAGAGAGCAGAGAGGAAGGGACGCTCAGTGGAAGCTCCTTAAAGACCAGAACCACAAGGATTCGTATCTGTAGTGCCTAGCACATGACATGGCATGTAGGAGCCATTCATTAAGTATAAGCTGCGTGAATGAGTAAAGCAGTGAATGAATGGGATGCTTGGATTTAGAATAGTGGCTACACCTTCCCCTGCTACAACTCCAAGAAAAAATGTGGTTCGTCCTGCAGGCACCTGGCTCTTAGCAGGATTGTTGCAACAGCCTCCCAACTGGCCACCCTTCCTTCACAGGTTTTTTTTTTTTGAGACGGAGTCTGGCTCTGTTGCCCTGGCAGAGTGCCGTGGCATCAGCCTAGCTCACAGCAACCTCAGACTCCTGGGCTCAAGCAATCCTACTGCCTTAGCCTCCCGAGTAGCTGGGACTACAGGCATGCGCCACCATGCCCGGCTAATTTTTTCTATATATATATTTTTATCTGTCCAGATAATTTCTTTCTATTTTTAGTAGAGACGGGATCTCGCTTTTGCTCGGGCTGATCTCAAACTCCTGACCTTGAGCGATCCACCCGCCTCGGCCTCCCAGAGTGCTAGGATTACAGGCGTGAGCCACCGCGCCCAGCCCCGTCATAGGTTTTTCTCATGTGCGTAGCTAGATACACCTTCCCCACCCGAGAACCTCCAAAGGCTCCCCCTAGGTTATAAGAGAAAATCCTGACATTCAAGGTCCTCCATAATAGGGTGCAAACTCCCACATCTAATTTCATCCACCTCACCTAACACCGTAGGGTCTCCCTCCTGCTGCCCACCCATCCCAGAAGGCAACCGCCTTAACTGAAAATTAAGTGAAAAATGAATGTTGAGGCATACATGGTAAGTGCTCAATTTTAGCTATTTTTTTTTTTTTTTGAGACAAGAGTCTTGCTCTGTTGCCCACGCTACAGTGCTATGGCATCAGCCTAGCTCACAGCAACCTCAAACTCCTAGGCACAAGTGATCCTCCTGCCTCGGCCTCCTGAGTAGCTGGGACTACAGGCATGTGCCCACCACATCCAGCTAATTTTTTCGATTTTTAGTACAAACAGGGTCTCACTCTTGCTGAGGCTGGAGGCTGGTCTCAAACTCCCAAGCTCAAGTGATCCTCCCACCTCAGCCTCCCATAGCACTAGGATTACAAGCACGAGCCACCGCGCCCGGCCTTAGCTATTCTCATTTCTGGTTCCTGGGCCCCCTCTTCCATATGCCCCTCGGCATCCTCACTTCTAGTCCTCGGATTCCACTGGTCTTTCCCGTCCTCCCCTGGCCCATTTCCCTCAGAATATATTTTTAAGGCATTTTCCTTTTTGGCTTCAGATGCCTCTGTGATCTGTAGCCAACTGACTTGAAATCAAAGCCAGAAAACATTAATGGGCTCCACCTCTCAGTATCTACAGTGGAGCCTGGCTCTGAGCTGGTATTGCTGTCAGCTGACCCCAAGCCTGGCAGGTGCTGTGCTGAGCACTTCCACAAATCAGCTCATTTTACTCCCACAGGCTATTGGACAGGTAGAATTAGCCCCATTTTACAGATAAGGAAACTGAGGTTCATGTGCTCATAGTTACAAAGGTCTTACTCCAAAGCTCTTAACCATTTCGTTAATTTATCTTTCAGTAACAGTTTAAGTTTGGCAAACACCCCAGAAAGCTCTTAGCTGATCCTCAAGGCTTGTGGGCTCACACGCTGCTAGAGCAAAGGAAGTGGAGAAGACACAACGGGGTACATTTCCTTAGTTGCAGACTCATACGCCCGAGATAGAGAGACAGCTCTTCCAAATGACTGGGTGCAACCCCTCATCATATAAATGGAGAAACAGCCCCAGTGAGGGCAATGGCTGGTCTAAGATCACACTGCGAGGGAGGGACAAGACCAGACTCAGCAAGTCTCTCGACTGCCTGTGCTATCTGCAAAGCTACTACCATAAACGTGCACTGAACTGCAATAAACTGCTCTGGTCAGCCAGGGCAGCGGGCAGAGCTCTCTAGCCAGCCGGCAGCCTCACGCCATGGTCATTGGCCAATCTTAGACCCAAGTCACGGGCCAGAAGTGGGCTGGAGGAGGGGAAGGCAGGGAAATTGCAGTTGAGCCCACTTGCTTATCGGTGTCCTTCATGAAGTGGAAACTTTCCACGGGCCTCCCCAGATCGCGATCACATCTGGTGCCCCTGAAGAGTTCAAAAGAGGAAGTTTGGGTTTGGTTGTAATGGCTGAAAAACACACATAGAGAAATGTCCAGGCAGTGAGAGGGGAGGAGAGGGCACCTGAGCTCAAACTCCCCTGTGGGCTTCCCAGGAAACACCTTGGAAGAGTTTAAAGACATAACTCACTCATGGGCAGATGTCACAACCTCAAGCTCTAATAAGGAAAATCCAGGCTGCAGGTTCTAGACGGAAGACAGAGGCCCTCATTGGAAATGTTTACGTGTTTGTGCATCTCTTTTCTTTTTTTTTTTTGCCCAGGCTAGAGTGAGTGCGGTGGCGTCAGCCTAGCTCACAGCAACCTCAAACTCCTGGGCTCAAGCGATCCTCCTGCCTCAGCCTCCCGAGTAGCTGGGACTACAGGCATGCGCCACCATGCCCAGCTAATTTTTTTCTATGTATTTTTAGTTGTCTGATTAATTTCTTTCTATCTTTAGTAGAGACAGGGTCTCGCTCTTGCTCAGGCTGGTCTCGAACTCCTGAGCTCAAATAATCCGCCCGCCTCGGCGTGAGCCACCGTGCGCGGCCTTCATTTCTTTTTTAAAGAGGGAAGTGTCAAGGGAATGAACTGGAGGCACATGAACTGGACGTTCACGTTAGAAGGGAAGCCAAGATGTTTTCATCCCACTCCCTCATTTTGTAGACAAGAAAGTAGAGACTCAGGGAGAGAAGGGGACTGGCCAGAGGTCAGAACACAAGTGCATGGCAGATGCAAATTCGAACCCTGGCTTCCTGCTCCCGGGCCAGGATTCCAGCACAGCCTGGATGGAGATGGGTGTCAGTTTGCCCAAGCGCATATTAATAACTCCTCCCGCTACCCCAGCGCACTCGACTGGCACTTGCTACCAACCCGCCATTCAAAGCACACACACCACTCATTACAGACAGAGGCTCAGTATGTTTCTGGATTTGACAAAGCCCAAACCAGGGCACAGGCTGTGGCAAGGGAAGGAAGCTGGGAAAGGCTGAGGCGTCAGGGGAGTGAAGGTGGACGGGGTCTATGGCTATGGTTCTTCAGCCGCTCGGCCGTGAGCAGGAGTGACCGTGCTGGGTCCTCAGTGGCCCGTGGGGGTGGGAGCCTTTCCTAAGCCCCAGTTGAAGACAAGAGTCCAACCCTAACCCTCCCCGCACCCCGCCCGTTCCTGTCTCTGGAGCTGGAACAATCGCGCTTGGCCATGGCGGCTGGAGCTGCTGACTGTTTCTCGGCAGAAGTGCCCGCCAAAGCTGGTGGCCCTAGTCCTCACCACCACAGACAGCCAGTAGGGCCTTCAGGAAGTCTCCGGAGGTGTCGCCCTGGCAGGGGCAGAGGGAGAGCAGAGTGAGTGAAAACAGTCCTTCTGGCCTCAATGTCCCTCCCATTGTCGCCCATCGGTCTGGACATCTCCCCTGGCAGCGTAGCTGCTGCACCAAGACCAGAGGGATCTCCCTAACACATACACGTGACCATGTTCCATCTGTGCCTCCTGTTACCCTCAGGAAGATGTGCAAACTCCGGGACTGGCTTCACAGCCCTTTGCGATCTGTCACTGCAGAGCTCTGCAGCTTCACCTGCTGCCTTCCTTCTGGGAGCATCCAGGTCCTCTTCCCACCCCCCCACCCCGCCCGTCAAGCATGCCCTGTGCCATGCCCTGCCCCAAATCCTGTCCGTGGCACTGCGCTCTGCTCTGAGAAGCGCCAGGCCCACCATCTTGCCTTAGGAGGCAGAATGAACTCCAACCTCCCTTGGTCCCCTTGTACCCTTGTACTCTGCTAATACTCTCCCCTCATGGCCCGTCGCACACTGTGCCACGTGATTCCTTATTTGAACAAAGATTATCGTGCTCTAGCTGCCAGACCATTCCTGGGAATGTGTACGAACATCACCACGTGCAGACACATCACGAGGGTCTGGCACACAGGTCGGGCTGGGGGAGGCCAGGCTTTCTCCCACATGGGACGGCTCTCCTCTTAGAGGGGCACCTGTCCTTTCTATGAGATATGGATTTTTTTGAGTTTTTTGGATTTATTTTTTGATATGATTTTTGAAAAACAATGTACTATCATCATAAACAATTAAAATCAAAGAAAAGATTATACAGTAAAAGTGTTCCTCCCATCCTTGACCCCCTGGTTCCCCATATCAAGAGGTGGCCACTGTTAATTTTTTCTTTCTTTTCTCTTTTTTTAAAGACTAGTCAAGTGCAGTAGTGGGAAGGGGGAAAGTAGTAGAACAAGGAGTTTGACCTGTGACTAACTGTGAACAGTCAAGTGAGATAACTCACTACCTTCGGACCAGCCTGTTAACTACTTTCTTGTACGGTTTTCCAGCCATTGTCTATGTACATACAAATATGTGTACTTGTATAACAACCCTTTTCTACACAAATGGACACGTGTCCTGTTCTGGGCTGTACTTTGACAAGATTCCAAATCAGTACACAGATTTCCCAGGGTTTCTTATGGCTGTATATATTCTAGCATATGGATGGGCCATAATCTATTTAACCAGTTCTGTAGGGAGGGCTTCCAGTCTTTTGCTACTATCAACAATGCTGGCATAAATATCCTCTTACATGTCTTTGAGAACATCGTAGCAATGTCTGTAGGATAAATTCCTACAATTACCAAGTCAAAAATATACATACTTTACATTTAGAAACTGCCAAATTACCCTTTGAAATGTGCTGGTGGTTTACGTTCCTACCAAGTCTACATGAGAATGCCTGAGAGATGCCCAGTCTTGTCAGCCAAGTATGGATAGCATCAAACCATAAGATCCTGGCCAATATCAAAGACCAAAAAAATGGGCTCCATATGTCAAAGAAGTCAGACATAAAAGGTCACATATTACATGGTTCCATCTATATAAACTATCTAGAAAAGGCAAATCAACAGAGATAGAAAGTAGCTTGGTGGCTGCCTGTGGTTGGGTGGAAATAGGTGGGCAGGGATAAGAGAACTTAGTGGGATGATGGAAATGTTTGGAAACTGGATGGTGGTGAAGGTTGCACAACTCAGTGAATTTACTAAAAATTATTGACTTGCACCCTTAAAACAGGTGGATTTTATGGTATGTAAATTATACTTCAATAAAATGTTTTTTTTTTCTTTTTCTTGAAACAGGGTCTCCCTACATTACCCAGGCTGGCCCAAACTCCTGGGCTCAAGCGATCCTCCTGCCTCAGACTCCTGAGCAGCTGGGACTATGGGTGTTTGCCGCTGTGTCTGGCTGATTTTTCTATTTTTTGTAGAGACAGGGTCTCACTTGTGCTCACACAGAACTCCTGGCCTCAAGCGATCTTCTGCCTTGGCCTCCCAAAGTGCTAGGATTACAGGGGTGAGCCACCTCGCCCGGCCTAAAGTTGTTTTTAAAAAGCAAAAAATGAGCTCTTGTTTTATTTGGAAATCTTTAATTATATACCTTTGATTCTTCTGGAATTTATTTTGGTATAAACAATGAGGCAGGTCTCCTTTCATTTAGCAATATCCTGGCTGTTCTAAGAGGTAATCCAGTGGGAAAAAGACAATGGGAATAAAAAGACTTCTAATCTTATATTAGGGATCTGACACTTGCTCCCTTCCCACTGACCTCTAACCCCACCCTTACCTCAATGGCTTGGTGGAGAGACATGTCGTATTTCTCAATGAATTCTCGCCGGATGTTGAGCAGGTCGATCTCGCTCCGGGAGATCATGATCCTGGTGAGGGTCTTCTCGTCCGTGCCAGCGCCCTGGTGGAGCCAGGCAAGAGGGAGACATAGGTAGGAGGAGAGGCAGAGATAGGTCAGGCAAGACATAGTGGGTGTCCACCTCTGTCCCTTTTACCTTCCAAAACCAGGGTGGGCTATTCTGCCTCTGCCTTCCACAAATAGTCCTGACCAAAACACTCCTATGCCCAGGACTGGCCAGACTGAGAGGCAAAAAAGGCCCGTATGGGTTGAACAGTATCCTCTCCAAAATTCACGTCCAATGGGAAACTCAGAACGTGATCTAATTTGGAAATAGGGTCTTTGCACATGCAGTAAGTTAAGATGACACCATAAAGGATTAGGGTGGGCCCTAAACCAATCATTAGTAGCTTGCAAGAAAAGGAGAGGGGACACTACCATACGGACAGAAGGCCATGTGAAGATAAAGGCAGAGACTGGAGTGTTGTCTTCACAAGCCAAGAAATACAAGGGCCTCCGGCAACCAGAAGCTAGGAGAACGGCATGGGACAGTTCTCCCTCAAGGCCTCCAGAAGGAACCAACCCTGCTGACACCTTGAATTTGAACTTCTGGCTTCCAGAACTGTGACAGAATTAATTTCTGTCATCACCCAATTTGTGGTGATTTGTTACAGCAGCCCTGGGAAACTAATATGGGGCAGAAGGAGAGGACACAAGGCATGGAATGCATGGGCAGCCAGGGCCCGCCTCTACCCCCAGGGAGCGAGGAATGCCAGCTCAGGAGCCAGCATAAGGTTCGAGTCCCAGCTCTGCCATTTAGGAGCCATATAAACTTGGGCAGAGTTTTAAGCTCCCCAGGCCTCAGTTTCTTCCTCTATAAAATGAGGATACTATCGTGACCTCGCAGGGTTGCCACGAGGGTCAACTGTGGTCAGGGAGGTGAAACACTTGGCACAGGGCTTGGTGCTCATGAGCACAGGGTAAGTGATCAAGAAATGGTTGTCGTGCTTGGGACTGTAGGCTGACAGGGTCTCAGGCTCCTTCCCACCCACCAGCCTGCCCAGGCTCTGCCAGCAGTTGAGACTCCGGTGGCTGGGCTAAGAGGATGGCCAGTGTGGCCTGGGCTCTTCAGGAAAGGCAGAGCTAGTCCCAGAGCTGAGCACTTTTGACCTTTGACAATCATTTGTCATAGGAGGCCCTGTGTCGCCTGCTAGAACATGAGCTCTGAGAGGGCAGAGACTGTGTCTTACTCAGCCCCGTGTTCCTAGAGCAGGTTTCTCAACCTTGACGGTTCAGGCTAGACAATTCTTTGTTGCAGAGCTGTCCTGTGCATTGTAGGACGTTCAACTGGATCCCTGCTTTCTTCCCACCAGATGCCAGTAGCAATACACTCCAAGTTGTGACAAGCAAAAGAAGTGTCCAGACATTGCCAAATGTCCTCTCGGGGCCAAAATCACCCCTGATTGGAAACTACCGTCCTAGAGCCAGACAGGGGCAGATGTCGATAAATATCAAATGGGAGGAAACAGCTGCCAGACGTCCTGATCGGGGGATGGCACACACCTGTCTTTATGTGTGCATGGAAGTCAGTGCCGGAAGGGAAAGGAGCGAATGAGCATGTTTTCTTACCTTCATGGATTTATAAAGTTTGTCGGCAAAGAAGAGAGGCTTGTTCTTGACGCTTTGAACTGGTGGGAAGAGGAGAGAGATGCAGGGAGCCTGGTCAGGGGACGTACACCCGGCCTCTGGACTGGGCTCCCCACCCCGCCCCACCTCCTCTCCCACAGCCTGGGTCTGCAGATCATTGCCAACCCCAGGGTCATGCTTGGGGGTGACCCCTTCACCCTGCCATCCCAGGGCCTCCTTGTCTGGCTCATCCCTTGGCCTGGCTCTCACTTGGTTGCAACTCATTTCCTGCTAAGGTGCTTATAGCTAACCAAGGTTAGTATAGGATTCAAAAGGAATTAACTCGTCACGAACCCAAGGCACTGCGCCTCACATTTTTAAGTGCATCGGAATCACCTGAGAAGCTTGTTTAACACTCAGGTTTTAGGCTCCATCCTACAGATTCAGATTCTAGAAACATTTTGAGCACTGGTTCTCAAAGTGTGTTTTCTGGACCAACAATATCAGCACCACTCGGGAACTTGGAAGAAATGCAAATTCTCATGCCCCACCCCAGATGCGCTGGAACTGAAACTGGAGGTGGGTGACCAACGCGTCCCAATTTGCCTGGGACGGTCCTGGTTTTAGCACCTAAAGCCCTGCACAAATCATGACAGTTGATCGCCCCACTCTAGTACAGCCTAATGTTTGAGAGCTACTCGATTACAGAAATACCGCCCCAAAGAATGGCTGTTCGTTGGCATAATTTAAGGCACCATGCTAATCCCTGGGGCTGAGTGCTGCCCAGAGCCTGCACACTCTGGCCACACTGGCAGCCCACGCTCCTCACGCCAACCCCAGATAATGCCTGCCTGGTTAGGCCAACTCAGCCCTTTCTCAAGGCCTTAGCTTCATTTCAAGGCCCCAGAGCCCACATGGGGGTGTCTCAGATAGCTTTAGGGAGGAGGAACCAGATACCAGCTCCAGAGCCGGAGTGACCTGGACATAAAAGCATCTTTAAGAGAACAAGGGGCCAGAGGCTGGAGCTGCTCCCTCCAAGGGCACAGTCATACAAGGGACTCCCCTGCAGCAGACTCAGGAGCCCCACGGGAAAGATCATATCACACATCTTCCCCCCCAGCTCTGCATGCAGCTCCCTAATACCTTCCAAACCAACCCCAAACTCCTCAGCCTGGAGTCCAAGCACCTGTCCTCCTTCACTACCTTACCACCCTTGCTCCCCCATTCTCTGAATATACCGGGAATTCCTTTGTGCCTTGTCCTCCTAGTATGGATGTGTTCATTGACGCAATGCGTTTTACAGTAAATGAATTAAGACACTAATAATAATCAATGCTAATGGAAACCACAACTTCGATCCTTGCTCGTGCCCACTCATCCGTATTTACACACGCAGAGACTGAGATCCCAAAGGGCAAGACTTTTCCAAAGTCAAGAACTCAAATATGTAAGAAAAGAGTAACCGAAGAGAGTGCTGGGAGGAGGAAAGAGTGTGTGTGATGTGTATATGTATAGTGTGTGTCTTGTATGTGTGTATGTGGTGTGTGTGTATTAAGTGGTATGCATGTGTCGTGTGTGACTAGTGTCTATGTGCAGATGTAGTGTCATGTGTGTAGCGTATGTGTATAGTGTGTGTAGCGTGTGTATGTGCAATGTGCTTTGTGTATGTAGTGTTGTGAGCATGTGTGTATGTGTGTGTGTGCATATACCCTAGTCCTGCAGGACACTGTGCCTCCCCCTGCCCTGCCCTCGCCTTCTGTTCCTTTCCCAGGGAGAATTGTTTTCTCATCCTGTGCTGCAGCCTGGAACAGTCCTCATACTCCCCAACAATCACAGGTCAGGCAGGGCCCTGGAGGCCACCTGTGGTAGCACTTGCTTTCCAATACTAGTAGCTGAGGGGGCTGCCAAAGTTACACTCTTCCAGAAAATCTGGCCAAGTTCCTAATGCCCAGCCCCTTCCCTTGGTCCCCGCCAGTTACCGATGGCCACAAACGCATCCCTGACGTCTCCAGACATCTCCTTCTTGATGGTGTGCTCCACGTCATAGTTGGTCATCTTGATGAACTCCTGGAAGACTGGCCCCAAGAGAAGCCCCGGAGGAGGGGGGTGAGCTCCAGTTTGGGAGTTGGAGGAGCCCACCCTCCCCTGCCCCGCCAGGTCTGCACATAGGCCGTGCCCAGGAGAGTGGAAAGGGCGGCAGGCATGGCCGCAGCCAGGCCGAAATGCATCCGGCGGGATCACTGCGAGAGGGAAGTTGTGACATCAAGGCTGCTTTGGGCTTTCAGTGCCAGTCAGAGCCTGCAGGCCCGGCCAGCAACCCCAGAGCCTTGGACAAGTTCTGGGAACCTCGGCCGGGGTAGTAAAAAGGCCAGGGGTCCTGGTCATGGCTCTGCTTCTAGCTCACTGAGTGACCTCAAGTGACCCTTCCCCTTTCTGGGCCTCTTCTTCCTCCTGTGTCAAGTTGGGACAGAGACTATTGTAAGTAATGACACTTGGGAGTAATGATAACACTTGGGAAGCACTTGCTGTGTGCCAGGCATTGTGTAAGTGCTCTACCCATGTTGTATGTTTTACATCTTCACAACAGTCATGTGAGGTAGAACTAAAACCCCCATTCCTAGATAAGGGAGTTCAGACATAGACATTCAGTAACTTGCTTGAGGCCACACGGCTGGTAAAGGGGGGATTCAAATCAAGGTTGCCCAGCACCCAGGTGCATTCTTTTAGCCACTGCGCTAAAGCACCTTAAGTATGGAAAAGTGCCAGACACAGGCATGTTAAAATGTAAATGTCTCAGTGGAAAGGGTACTTCACGGTCACCTAACAGCAGGGCCACTGCATACTGGGGTGCCGTGTGCATGGGGTGGCCTGTGGTTCAAACCACTCCTCACTCCCTTGGTCCTGGCAGAGATCACACGTGGATCATGAGGCTGAACCTCAGAATCCTTCTCAGCACAACATTCCAGGCAGCTACTACCAATCCATCAGAGTTGGCCTTCAGGGTGAAATTCACTTGCTATCCTAATCCCAGGCGTCCACCTGTAACCCTGGAGAGGTGAACCGAGTTGGCTCAAGGCTGAGCCATGGTCAGCAGTAGAACCAGGACTAGAATCCATCTAGTCCATTAGCCATGATACTCCACTGCTGGGGCAAGGAGGTAGGTGGGTAACTCCTCCTCTCCTCTCATCAGATTTGGGGATATTCCTGCTGAATTGGGAGGGGAGGAGGTCAGGCCTCACCTCTGCGGAGGTGCGGGTAGCTACGGGTGCACAGGATCATCATGAAACGCGTCTCCAAGGAAGTTTTGTCTCCACTGGGCGTGTCTGCTATTTCCTGCAGAGCCCAAGTTGGGGCAAGGATTTGGGAGGGGAGACAAAAGAAAGCCTTGGTTATTATTCACATGCACATCTTTGTCTGGGCTGAGGACAGCAGAAGCTGGGCTAACCAGCCATCCAAGGGAGCTGAGATTGGCCCCGTCTTCCTCCCTCCCCCTCAAGCACAATGAACTCACACTCCCATCAAGTTCCCAGGTGCCCTGTGGACTGACACAGAAGGCCTTAGCACTGAGGACTTGGCCTCAGGGCCATGGACCTGGGCCCTCCCTGGGCAAGAGACTTGACATTCTCCTTCCATCCTTCAACCTCTCTGAAAGACCCCCTGCCACCCCCAAACGTGTATGTGCTCACTTGCAGGAAAGATGGCCTAGCCAGCGTTTCCCCAAGCAAGGTCAAAGGCAAACATATGTTAACACCCTGCATGTGTATGTTTCCACAATTATCTTCTAGCCAGCTATCAGTTTTATTTATACTGATATTAAATGTCCTTTAAAATAACTCATTTTAGGTTTAAAACTGAGTCAATTTAAAGGTAACTATAAATAGCTGATGGTTATATAGCACAAATCCTGCCAGAGATGAACGGCCAAATTTTGGGAAACACTTGCCTGGCCCATCTTTTGCCCGGCAGGGTCCCTAAGGGTCCCTAAGGGTCCCGGAAGCGGAGAGAGAGAAGCTGCAGAGCAAACCCCCCAAATCATGGCCCAATTTTGCCCCATGAGGCCCAGCCCCAGGGCCCAGCCAGACTTTACTCAGGCCCTTAAAATCCAAACAGAGAACAGGACACTCACCAAGATCTCAGCAGCCACCTGAGAGCAGGGAGGAGAGAGAGGAGGGAGAGAGGGAAGGCATGAGTCAGAGGAGGCCGGCAGGTTGGCCCTGGGGTGCAGGGTGAGGGGGCCTGGCTGGGAGTGGCGGAGATCCCAGGAGACCCCGAGGGAAATAGGGACATGATGGGGGACAGGGAAGAGGGAAAAATACCCTTCTCTGACTTTTTGGGCTGGAGCTCAAAATGGGGCTAGGCCTAGCGTTAACTAAAGATGTGGTCCCCAGAGGGATAAGACAAAGAGAGAAACGGGGACTCTACCCTATGCACCCCATAACCTAGAGCAGACTCCAGGCCTCAGTTTCCTTGTCTGCAAACAGAGATAAATGATCCCCATCACTTCTTTCCAGAGCCACTGAGAAGTTAAAATGTGAGGAGTGCAAAGTTCCCTGCACCCTTTAGCACGTCCAGAGTTGGAAGGGGTTGGGAGACAGGTAATCTAGCACCTCATGCTACACACAGGAAAAGCAGGCCAGCCAGTCGGGCTGAAGGAGAGGTGACTGGCCTGGGGACACACAGCCAAGCGGAGGTGGGAAAGTCATTTTACAAGGGTTACTGTTAATTGTTGCAATATGCAGAGCACAAAATTCTGTGGTTAGGACACTATTTTGTTAGGCAAATAGCTGTGATTTTGAGCGCCTGGGAACAAAATACAGCCAGCCCTTGCGTACCCAGACTGAGTTTTGCTTTTGCCTTTTCCCCGGAAGCTCTGCTGACCCCTTTGTTCTATTGGATAGACTGAAACTACTCTCTTCGTAAAATTCACAGTAGCTTACACTATGGAAACTTCTGTCTTCTTTTTATTATATAATACACATTGGCAACATCTATCAGAAGTTAAAATATATATGCCTGTTTGAGCAAGCAATTATGTTGCTAGGAATCTGCCTTACAGATACACTTGGCAAAAGTCTCCCAAGATACAATGCAAGACTGTTCCCTGCAGCATTCTTTGTAATAGAGAAAAATTGGGAAGTGTGAAGAGATGACTTGTTACACAAGCTGTGGTTTATCCAAGCAATAGGAACAATCCAGGGGGCTCTTAATAAGAATGAGATTTATCTACAGTGCTGACAAGGAGAGTTTCCATTTAAATTAAGTAAAAAAGTAAAGTACAGCACATTCTATAAGAGTATTTCTTTTACCTTGATAAGAAACCATAAATACTGTCTCAGACTTACAGGGAAGTACATAAGAAATTGTCAAGATGCTGTTAACAGTGGTTGCCATTGAGGAGAAAGACTATGTAGCAAAGTGTTTGCATTTTCTTTTATTCTTTCTGAAATTTTACATTTACGTTTCCTAAACATGCAAATATATTATTTCATTTTTTTATTTCAATGTCAAATAGGAGTTATCAGGGCTGCTAGGATTATGGGCTGCTTCTGGTTTTCCAAGACTTTTCTGTATTGGAAACAACCTAGTTGAACCTTGAGGACATTATACTAAGCAAAATAAGCCAGTCACAAGAGAACAAATACTATACAATTCCACTTACACGGAGTGCTTACAGTCATCAGATTTCTTAGACAGAAAGTAGAATTGTGGTTGCTAGGGGCTGGTGGATAGGCAAATGGGGAGTGACTGTTCAATGGGTCCAGAGTTCTAGTTTTGCAAGATGATGACTTCTGGAGATGGATGGCGGTGATGGTCACCTAACAATGTGAATGTACTTAAGGCCACTGAGCTGTACACTCAAAAATGATTAATATGGTAAATTTTGTTATATACATTTTATCAAAAAAAATTTTTAAAGTTACACTAAAAAAACTTAGTATTTTTTTTTTTTACAAACAGAGGAAGATGTTTACAAAATTAAACAAAAAGAATTTAAAGTGCCAAATATTCTCATTTATTCAGGCAAGAGAACCTGAGATACATTAGTTTGTTCAAAGCATCCTCAAGACAATAATATCTGTAGTATTAAAAAATGTGGTGGGGCACAAAAGCTTTTCCTTATTAGCCTAGCTACTTCATGCAAAATTTCATCTGGGCTGTTCCTCAAAAGGTTAAACATAGAGTTAGCATATGATCCAACAATTCTACTCCTGGGTAGATACCTAAGAGAAATAAAAACCTATGTATGTGTACACAAAAATGTGTACACAGATTTTCATAGCAGCATTAGTCATAATAGCCAAAAAGTGGAAACAAGCCAAATCTCCATCAGCTGATGAATGGACAATGGAATATTACTTGGTAAAGGAAAGGAATGGAGTACTGACACATGCTACAACACGGATGACCCTGGAAAACACCATGCTAAGGCCAGGAGTGGTGGCTCACGTCTGTAATATTAACACTCAGGGAGTCTGAGGCAGAAGGATTGCTTGAGGCCAGGAGTTCAAGACCAACCTTAGCAAGAGCAAGACCCCATCTCTACTAAAAGTAGAAAGAAATTAGCCGGGCAACTAAAATAGGAAAAAAAAAAAAAAATTAGCTGGGCATGGTGGCACATGCCTGTAGTCCCAGCTACTCGGGAGGCTGAAGCAGGAGGATCGCTTGAGCCCAGGAGTTTGAGGTTGCTGTGAGCTAAGCTGACACTATGGCACTCTAGCCCAGAGCAAGACTCTGTCTCGAAAAATCAAAAAAACACCATGCTAAATGAAAGAAGCCAGTCCCAAAAGGCCAGATATTGTGATTTCATTTACATGAGATGTCCGGAATAGGCAAATCTAGAGAGACAGAAAGCAGATTAGTGGTTGCCTAGGCCTC